TTAGTATATTGTTAACATTATCATTTATGTATATTTTTCTTATCACTAACGTTAATTCATGTTATATCGTTATTGCAATATGTAAAAAGCCGTTTGGCGTTTATACAAATAAATAAAATAAAATAAATAAATAAATAAAAAAATACGGATTAACTAATACGGATTGTGAGTGTAAGTGTGGTAAGGATTTTCCGCTGGAAACCCGGGTGGTCACCCATCCAGTGACACCTGTCGGCGATGGCACTCGGAACACATCGGTGACTGATGTGACGATAGCCACTTTCAAAGTATTATTTCTTGCACAATATGGAGTGACGATTCCATTTCAATACATATTATATTGATTAAAAACACTTTAGACGGTCCGATTATTTTTAATAATTATCGTTCGCAGACCGTTCGCCGACATTGTTCGCGATATTGTTATTTTGTACCAGATAACAAACTCCACAATACTATATACCTACATTCTTTTCGAAATCACGGTGGTTATTTGCTATTATTTTCGTGAGTTCTCGACCGAAAAGTTATTACACACAAATACCTACCGTAATCTAAAACTTGGTCTGAAACAACAATATTATGAAGATGAAGTTAATATTATAATGACCTCGTAATAAATGTGAACAATGGAATTATGAGAACGACCGATGTTAATTTAAGAACGCACAAACAAATCAACCGATGTAATTATTTTTTCTCAAATATAAACGAAAAAGTCGTGACAGTATTATAAAAACAAAAGATGAGGTATTTATTTTTTTTTTATACAACTATTACCTATTATAATATATTTTTGAAATTCTCAAACACTGATTAATACAACGGTCCTTTGTATACTAATTAAGCGGAATAAAATTAATATCGTCAAAATAAGACGCAACGCAATATTTGTTCAAAACAGTGATGTTTATTTTTCAATTCAAATACCGTTTTTTAAATGTAATATAATGTACAAAAACATTTATAATATTATTCATAATTCGTATAAAAGATTAATTATGATTTTCCAAAAAAAATTCAAAAGAATTTATTCTTTTAAGTATTTTTTGTTTGTTTTGATAGTTTGTAACAATTAATTATTTAAAAACATCTTTATAATAATTGTAGGTATATATCACCTTTGCAATTATTAGAGTATTGAGCTCTTGTCATTGATAACACTAAGAAAATGGATCGTACCTACCTACAAAATATTATGTCAACAAGTGTGTGCTAAATATATTGTTACGTTTGTAATAAAAAGAAGATAATTATCATTTAAATTTTAAATCACTATTAAATAAATAGATTTTATACCATAACTTAAACACCAAATGACAATAATTTTGTTTGAATAATGATATTAAATAATATAACTGTAGGTATGTAATATCATTCTCTTAAAATGTTTAATTTTAACATGGTTTTCAAAGATTTTTACTTTCTTGGTTTTATAATATAGACTAAATACCTACTGTAATGGTGAAAACTGGTTTGTTTTGAAAATACAATGACTGTGGATAAAAATATAACGAGAAAAATACATATAATTCTAAAATAGTATTATACAATTCAAAAATTGATTTTAGCATATTATTATAATATAATGTATACATTAAAAAATACTCCTACCCTATTGGAATTTGTGAATGTGACCATATCTAAGTATATAGACATTTCTTTGAGCGTAGTGAATAATCAAATATGAGTATTATAGCGGCTGTAGTGTAGGCGCATTTTACAAATTTATTCAAGACGAGACAAAGTAAGTACTCGGAGAGAATGCGTATTCAATTATATCAAAAATGCTAATACGTGCTTAAGTTTTAAATATATTAGTATTGGGCTCTTGAAGAAGTATCTAGAATCTAGATGGTGTTAACTTTGTAGTAGAAAACAGTGCGATAATATTTTTCCGATGCCTTTGAATCCTGCAGAGAATAACTTAGGTAGATTCTTTGAACTTATAATTAATGCAAAAAATACGTAAAGGAAAACAAGAAAATATTGTGATATCTTAAAATACAATTTATTTGCAATTTTAATTGTAAGTTACAAAAGGTAGTAATAATATTATAATAGGTACTTTTGACACAAATACACAATTATGTATAAATGTATAATCACATAGTATAAAATATTATATCAATATTTGAATTAAGTGTTCAACTATAGCGAGAACAGATTTAAATTTTTCAATAAATCGTTCTGTCATCACAAGATACTTTTAATGATTACCAATACAATAGACGCTCTTTTGATTGTGTCTTATCAATTTATATTCGGAACACAATGTTTGCAACATGTTTTAAAACCTTAAAGCCTCCGAAAGTATAATGCTATTATTATATGCATTGTTAATCAATTTCATATTTTATTAAATTTTCACGAATATAATAAAGATACCAATAAGTAATAATTAATGTTTAGAACAATCTGTTAGTGTTGTATTGAAATTAATTCAATTTAAAAAGAAAATATAACAAGAACAAGGTGTTGACTGATGAACAATAGTATACGAATGGTGGTTTGTAGAGTAAAATAAAGGTCAAGTGGGGAGTGGTTGATGAAAACTTATGTAGGTACCTGCAAATAAAACACGATAACTTACACAATAACTGTAGGGTAATCTTATTGTCTACAAACAAATAGTATTTTACTTTTTGATGTGTTTATGGAAATCAATACTGCGATGGAAAATGTTCGATAAAAAAGATAACTTGACGCAGGTGGTCAGAATAATATTTGGGTGAACTTTTCGAGGGCCCTCGGTGGTGGCTTATCCGTTGTTTTTGTGACTGCTACAATATACAGAGTAAAATTCGAAGATCGAGTGTAAGAAAATCTAATTTTTTTTTTCTACGTTTGTTCTAGCATACCAATGGTTTGTTTGGCGGTGTTGTGTGCCGTATCATCGATGATCGTATGGTCTTCGGTGGCGGGTTACGATATGCTAGACTGTAACCGACAGCTGTCCACCTTCCGAGTGTCCAACACCGACGTGAACGGAAGGACGTGTTCCGATAAGATCAACGTGATGTCGTGCTGGGGTAGATGCGATTCAAATGAGGTATACCATGATTACCTAATGTATAGCAACCATATTAAACTGTTTTTATTTTTTTGCCAATTAAAATATTATTATAATTTATGGTGCAGTGGCGTCCCGAATATTTCGTAAGCAAGGTAAAATAATGAAGCTACCCATCCACACATAAAATTAAAACTGGCATAATATTATGTATTAATTTTTTTTTTCTTTTATAAAATAAAAATTGATATTATTATACAGTTTCGATTAACATTAATGTAACCTAAAACTTCCAATAACAAATAAATATAAAATAATAAAATATTATATTACCTTACCGGTTTCCCTATTATAAACTACAATGGAGCATTATGTGTTTTATTACCTATGTGCTGATTCTTAGAGTAAATCAATAAAATATACTTATTGTCCAATGCTAATTTATTACACGCTGAATTAAAATCAACATTTTGCTTATTCCATAATAATATGATAGTAAAATATAAAAATATGTTTTACACCCAAATAAAACTACCCGCACACATCCATACATCCATGAAATTGTTTCTGATAATTTCTTCCAAAAAATATATTCTGTAATGCCACTGCAGGTATGATATATTATATTATATCCCACACGCCACGATTAATAATATTTAATCTACGTTTTTTTTTTTTTTTATATTTGAATAAAATCACTAGGCAAATCAAAATTTTGTGACCACGTAATTCAGAACATAATTTATCAACATTTTTGAAAATAATTTATTTTCAATGGTTTTTATACGATTTAAACTATTTGACAGCAGAAACATGATGTTCGCTCATAAAAATGTAATATATAATATTAATATATTGTGTATTCGAATCAAACGAGTAAAAAAATGATGAAATGTTTCTATAACGCATTGATGTAAACAGCGTCTAAGCAAAATGGTGTAATAAAATAATTTTAAAAAAACGCATTGATTTATAAATAGTTTGAACTTGCGATAACGCAAAATGTGATGACGCAAAGTGGTTATACAAACCATGCAAATAAATAATTGATAGTTTTTGACATAACTGTTGATCGATTGAAGCATAATAATTTATCGTTATTATTGCACACCATTTTCAGTATTCTCATCTTTCAATTATCTGTAAGAAGTATATTTTCGGAAATGTTTTTTGCCAACGACGATAAAAAAAAATACAATCTTATACTTTTTTTTATCAGCTAGAGCTTAAGAAATAATATTACGTGACTGGTTGACCCTAATCTTCGTTTAAAATCCCTAAAAATTGCAATTTGATTTTGCTTCATTCGCACCCGATCGTGCAGCGAGTTCCCTAGTTCATGAACATTCAGTATTATCATTCTATGTTTGCACAACGCCACAACCTATAATACTATGTCTATTATCTAGAAGTCTTCTACGTTTCAATTCAACGAAAAGAACATTTAAAAGTGTATAACAACAATTATTTCCATCGTAAATATCAAAATCCCTGTTTGAGCACCTCCCGGATTGGGCTTGCTAGGTCCGATTGTGAACTACACCATTCAAGGACCCAGTCAAGCACACACAGACAATTTCATCCAAAATCGGTGCAGCGGTTTAGGATGAAATTTGAATACTTACACACAAAATAAATTTATATAATCCCCCGTTGTGTGGTGTGTATAATATAATATATACTTTTATTTAGAATCGGTAATATGCCTTCGTTCTTAGCTATTCTCTAATAACTACGCTGGGAGCCGTGGGGGGGAGCACAAACTGCCGTCATAACAGGCTACCGCCATGGTCACGGGCTAATCCGACACATAGCTCACGGAAGCAGCATTATTAGGTTCATGTGGTGCACGGTGTTTATTTCAGACCTTCTCTACCGTGGGGTGGGGGGATTATCGTACATTTTCAAGGGGATATGCCATAAGAGTAAAGTATAATGAAGGGGGGAAGTACAAATATAATATTTTCAGGGTGGTATACATTTTTCTATACCCCACTGAAATAAACACAGGTGGTGCATTTGCAAAATTATTTGGGTCGACTGACTTGCCTGTGGACCCGCCGCGCCGTGGTGTGAGTTAGAGCCGCTTGGTCACAGTCGGCAGCCGGCCAATTCTCAGGGCATATCATTATTTAATATATGAAGTAGACAAAATGGATCTGGACCAATTTTTCCATTCGATAATTATATCTACTATACAACAAATAGATATCTAGTCAAAATTACGAAGCTCGATATTCAATAATCTACAGCTGAGTACAAACAAAAGTTGTACAATACTACCTGCATCCGGCATCGTCGTAGTAAAAACTAAAAACGAGATAATATTATAATTTATAAACAATTATTTTTCCACCATACTCTGTAGACAAATCATATCTGTGTCCTTCATACAACACACTACAATATCATACTCGTACTTCAATGAATTTAATATTAAAATATTAATTTGGAACACATACATTAATAAATCAATAAATAAAACTCATCTAACTTGTACAGTTCTACCTAATCGTAATTCATTTTAACTTATATTATTATGGTTAAATTTTTGATTAATAATAAATAAATTCACATTGTGTGGCGGCCGATTGTAAAAAAAAATGAACCGCTTTATTCTGTATGCTGCATGAGTGATTAAAGTCTGCGCACGCTTATGATTCAAAACTACCTGTGCGAATTCTGAATCCACAGGTATAAATCGTCCGTGGTGAATTATAATATTAATTATTATACAGTTTAAAATAATTATTTATTATTTAATGCTTACGGGTGGATGAGGTGAGGGAAATTGACGTATACACCATAATATGATGGTACTCGCCATCGGTCTAAACACCAGCTGTATATCACGTACTCTAGTGACTAGTATTATAGACGTATGAAGACTTTGGGCTCATTTAATGTATAAATTGGCGTCTTAATATACTATATACACGGTATATAATATATATATATAGCCTTTAAACTCAATACAATACATAAGTAATGTACAGGCGTACAGGCATGTATCTGCATTCAATAATTAAAATATCTAGCTTGCAAAGGTCATACTAAAAACTAGAATTTATTTAGATAGTAAAAATCTTTTCTTTGTAAGCTAAAATATAGCTAAATATATGTTAAATAATTAATTTAAAAAAAAACTATTTAGTTTACATAGTATACACATAATACATAGGTATTTTATTGAGCTAGTCATTAATCAAAAAATGTTTTTATTCAAAAAATTATTATGAAAAATATTATATTAACTAACCATCGTATTGTTTAATGGTACATCTATACATCTATACTATAATATTATCACAAAGAATTCAAATAAAAATTTATTTGATATGTACAATTTTTATTTTTATTTTTTTCTAAAGAATATCAAATATCAAATAACACTTATTATGCCACGTGCTCGTTTCAATATAAAACATCAAATAAAACAAAAATAATCCTAGGTGTGTTCTTTCAAAACCCTATAAATGTATATATTTATTCATCAAGTTACTTACAGAATAAATATTTTATTATAATATCATAAATTAACTCCTTATCCTCCATTTCTGTTTAATGACCGTTTAAAATTTAGTAGAGTTCCTCACGTTGAATTCATTAATTGTTAAAAATATTTTATTTTTTTTATTGATCTTCAGCCCGGCGACTAAGGCCTTTAGCTGTTGTAAGGAGTATGAACTGTGGTAGGGGAAAAGTTGGTAGGGTAAGTTGTTTCTTTTTACGATTGTTGTTACGGTTGTTACGGTAGGTAGCAAACACTTGTATTTTTAACTACTACGAACCCGGGTGGTCACCCATCCGGGAGCTAGTTGCTGTGGCCGTTACTTACTCCCAGTCGCATTCCGCGACTGGCAGCAGCCAATGCTCCACGCCAAGGCATACTAAAAATATTTTATAAGATATTCTAACAGTATATTCACGATAAAATATTCAATAATTGATTGAATCATTTGTTTGGTTATTAATCCATTTTATATAATTGATGTCAAATTGCCAAGGAACTTATAAATAAAAATACAATCACGAGCCTGTATAAACTATTTTATATTTTTATATTATGTCTCAATCGTCAAGCCAATACTTGACTATTGTTCGACACTATGGGACCGTTGAAAATAATATGTTTAATTGAATCACTGGAGCGTGTTTAAAGACGATGTTTTCGTTACATTGGCTACGAACGAAAACGAAATACTGGTGACCTTTTTTCTTCTTTCTCCAAAACCCTAAAAATAATTCAAGAGAGTCTTAACATAGAATGTGTAGACACTAGGCGTAGGCTTATTGACATTTACTTCATTTCTAAACGTTTAAACGGCACTATATCTTGTCCTGGAACTCGAAAAATTTAACGTCCCTCAATATCCGTTTCATTCTTGTCCAACTTCCTCAATAAAAACCCACCGAATATCATATTCGGATATATTGACAGTTTAATATGCACATCGTATCTCGCGTGAATGCAACAAATTAACTAATGTCGATACTCTGCAATATGTTCAATTTAATAAGTATGGGATCCCTAAAGTACTAATGTTAAAATGCCTTTATATAAGTACCAATATAGTGCTTTTCAATTAATTTTTGTTATTATCTAATGGCAATACCTAATGAAGTCTATTTTATGTTCGTTTCTTCATAATATAATATATTATGGCGATGTATAATTTTTGGTGTGAACTGCACTTGAACACATACAGGCGTTTAATTAAATAAATAAATATTAAAACCGTTTTTAGTTTTGTAAAAATTATGACTTTGGTCTTGTATATTAATTTTTCAACTAAACTGTGCTCTGCACGAATTCAAATTTTTCAAAGAGCATATAACAATATAATAATAATAAAAACAGTATTGTAATAAACTCCGCCCGCCTCGATGTTCTTCCCAGCCAAAAACACTTTTACCGAAAGCCTCGTCGTAACCACATCGGTTATATTAAACTTAATAGATTACACTTTGCGTGGTGTGCGACTGTATAGTGACTTCGTAATATAATACAAACCGTACGTTACAAGAGCGGCGCAGACAAATAATTTTCAAACCCACCAGTTGAAAGTTTTTATCAATTTTCCGAATATATTTTCTTAATTTTTAGAAATTAAAAATAAAAATCACCAACTTTTCAAAATTATTTTAACGTAGGTACTAAGTCCCATAGGCTTAGCTACTAAATTAATCAATCTATAGCACGCCCTAGAACCAAATTAATGCTGATACAAGAAAAAGAATGTAATCACAAGTAAAAATGTTCATAGAAAAAATTAGAACTTGACCTCTGGTCAAACTGATCCCCCAGGGGGTTGGTTAGTGCAGCGAGCAGGGGGCAGAACCCTCAGGCATATATACATATAAATAATAAATTCTATAAATTCCTATGGACTTTTTCTATAATTTCAATAAATAGACTGTTGCATACAACGTATGAATAATGCATATGATATGGGTATTTCTTTTTGAGTTACCTATACAATATTCAATCTTTATAAAATGAGATACAAAATAGTTATCATTTCCGTAATGTGCTTTTCAACTAGATGTATGAATACCTTTTTTTTTATTAAAAAGAAAATAATGTAATATCCTAAATTTTTTGGTAATACGATAGGTAATAGGTACCTTAAATGTGATACACATTATATTATGTGCTATGAATATTATCATCAACTATGTCCAACGGGTTCATTATATACAAAACTGAGAGACTCGATTAAAAATAAATAGTCACTCGTTACTCTTGGATACCATCTATGTCGTCTATTTGATGTTAAGGAGTAGTATGAGAAACGACAGTCAACACAACCGATTTATTACGATTTTTTTTATTTATAACATCAATCAATTTTTTTCATTTATTATATTTAGTACCTTAGTAATCTTTTAAGGAACTCGCATAGGTCCAGGTGTGTTGTGAAAGCAATGATAAACCGTCGTGTTCAATGGAATTCGGTAAAAATCATGATTACTAACAGTTCTTTGAAATCACTTGCACAAAAATGAATGAGATGATTATTGATAGTGTTCTCCCTGACTCTTAGAAAAATAACAGAAATAAATCAAGAAAATGACTTCCTAAAAAAAATGGACAGAATGTCAGATTCAATTTCTTACCTACCTACTAAAAGTTTAAAGGTGTTTTGAGAAACTTATAGAGGAGTCCTTTTACTTGGTAGGAGAAGTTTATATCGACTTAAAAATATTTTAAACCTAAGACATTCCCTGTCGTAACGAGAGGTCAATTCAGGAATATTATCGGTAAAAAAATGCCGACTCAATAATATAATTTTATTATTCCACGTGGAAGAGGAGGGGGTCATGTACTTTAACCCCGCTCCATTGGTTGTATTTTACTTGCATGTTTTTTTGTGCGCTAATAACACCCTTACATATTTTTCTAGAAATCATCCACTGCCCCCCCCCACCCCACAACATTGAAAAATCCTGAGAACGCCACTGATATACGGCCATAATGTACGGTGCAACTCGTTTGCGCACAATCCAAATTGTTTACCTAGATATCGATGACTCGTTTGCGCACAACGAATACTGTCGTTAACCTAAAAACGGACGACTCGTTTGCGCACAACATAAACACTGCATAACATATATTTTATATTTTTAAATTTGGACTAACTTAAGTAATTGATTATCAGTACATCAGCATATCAATATTCAATATATCATTATCATCATTGAAACTAATCGACGTGTATTAAACATAATATTTTTAAGCAGTCGTTCTCCAGAAAGCGGTACTACCTACTGACTAGTGACTATGGATATCGAAATTTGTGATATTTTTGAAAGAGAATTTCGAACTTTAAAATCTAGTGATACACATTTTAGGTGTACAAATAAAAAATGTTCCTTGAGTGATGTAGTAAGGTTAGTTAATAATAAAAAAATATAAAATTTTAAAAATTAAAAACACGCATAGAACCACTATTACTTCTTATTAATTGTATAATTATATATTTATTCAGAACAGACACACACGACATGCACATTTTTAATCTGTACAAAACAGATGGTCCTAAGCCTATATTAAAGTGAGAAGAGAAATGTGCTGTTCTGCTCAAAGTGAAATGTGCGCAAATGTGTTGTACCTTTATAATTTAAACCCAAAATATGTGTGCGCAAACGAGTTGTGATTTTGTGCGCAAACGTGCCTTAAAAAAGGTAAATGTGCGCAAACGAGTCGCACCCCATAATGTATTAGAGTTCATTATCTGCATTATCGTCATCAATGGATCGAAATATCTATAATATTATTGTCATTCCGTGGCATAGACTGTTGCGGGGGGGATATTTATTTATTGTTTCCAAGGTAAATCGCAAGGTAGTACCACCCCCCACTCCCGGAACGAATACTACATAAGTAGTTATACAAAAAAGGCCATAGGTTATCTCCACCACCCTTATCACTCCCGTGAATACGCCCATGTTATGATGTTGTCGCATGTACAAACTACAATATGTAAGTTTAGTATGTGCCCACATAATATTATTAGGTATCTACACGGAATGGATAGACCTGCAAAAACGCTGGATAATTATTTTCAGACAGGTCAAAATAAAATACGGATATTCTGTTTTATAACTATATTATTATGTTGATCTGCTGGTATATACCAACTATTACCGCACCGTGGTGACCGATTTCTGTTTTTTCTTTTTATTCCACAGGTGTCCGACTGGCGGTTCCCATACAAGCGTTCGCACCATCCGGTGTGCATCCACGCCGGTCAGGTGCTCACCGAGTTCGTGTTGAAGGACTGCGACGAAGGAGTTCTCGAAGGCACGGAACTTTACGTTTTCCCACAGGCCACGTTGTGCAAGTGTCACACGTGCAAGTCGTCGGAGGCAGCTTGCGAGGGGTACCGATACAAAGATGTTCAGTTCAATTCTCCCGACCAAGTTTGATGGGAGAAATAATTTTAAGAAAACATCAAAAAATAAAAAAAATATGCTACGGAATTACTACGACAGCAAACCGAATGCGACATCATATTTAAATATTATATAAATATATATTTATTATTATTATTATACGAGCTTCCGTTTTTTTCTTTTTCACGTCTCCTTCGATATTCTTATCATCTATAATACTCGTCCTTTACCAATATTAGATATTGTCTTTATCGTCACACACTCGACATGACACACTGTTAGATATTAGGTATTATTACATGTTGTACGCTATTAAGTTTTCTGTCAAATAATATCATATTATATATCTCATTGTTATCCGAAACGTGAAAAACCGATTATAATCTGTAAGCCCTCGCCTGTCGATTATAAAATATTATAATGTTAAAGTTTATTGTGTGCTTTTATATAATATCGTATAATAATGTTTATTATTTATATTATATAAATAAATATATATATATATATATAAAAATTCTCGGTACCTATATAACAATAATAAAAAAAAAATGCAGATTTATTAAAACGAATTCACAGCGTTAGTTTGTTTTTCCTTCCTGCTATTTAATACGAGTACAATAGTTATTACAATAATATATGACCTCGTTCGAGGGCATGCATCAAACATATATTTTGAATTGTTAAAAGTTCGGGTGCAATCTGCAGTGGTCCGAATACAGAGTGGTAAATTGATCGCTAATCAGAATTTTTCTCGGTATTCGTATAATATTATGTGGTTGAGACTTTGAGAGTTTAAGGTTCGTATATAGAACAGTCAGTAGTGCACCAACATTTTGCGTGGTATCCAAAGTATGTGATACTTCAATCATCAGCTGCTCGTCTAAATTTTAATAGCTCAAAGGACTACGAATACATTGAAATACGATACATAAAATAAAATACTTTAAAATTACTTAAAAAATTAAACTAATATAAAAAAGTCAGAAAAATCTAAAACAAAAACAAAGATTTTTAATAGGACTACTTACGGTCTTATAGAGATCATAAAAAAATAGTTAATGCAAGCTCTTATATTCTCAAACAAATATTCTACATAGGAATATTAAAATAGAAACGTAGGTACCTGGAAATAATTCGTTCAATGATGTTACGTGTTATAATGACTTAAAATTATTACATGTATATTGTATCTACATTACGGTGATTATATAAATAGGTAAGCTCGTTAGTCACCAGACTTTTTATGTTTTTAATTTCCCAAAACGAATTAAGCGAGGAGGAAATGTTTAAGAGTTTCAAACCCACGAGCGCTGGTTCGATAAAAAAAAAAAATAGTACTAAAAGTAACTACTGAAAAATTTAAGATGTCTCTGAGAAAATATAAAAAGTCATCGGAAAAAAATCAATTTCCTCGCCGATTCGTCTGAATGATGTTTATAATGATTCCGCTGGAAATTTCAGAAAACATCATCGACTTCATTTTACAAGGGCATATAATATGTAAGTATACGTGTTTTACTTATATTTTACACTCGCTATTCAACCATCGTCACCGATAATAGCCATAATCGTTATGTGGATAGTTTATAATATGAATTAGTTATTTGGTCGTCCCTCAATTTATAATGATTTACGGCATAGATATGGCGACGACACAACAATTGCATAAATAAACGCTTTTTACTGCTCCAGTTAATTTTAGTCGGTGATGAAGTAATGGTAAATGGACAATTTGATAAAAATTTAAGAGTGAGAAAGATAGAAACCGTAGAAAAATTACTATTTGCTCCACTTAAATGGTAGCAAGAGGTGTTTAATTATTTTGTAGCATAATATTAGATATAATTGCGGTATTAACTTTTTAGTTAGATAATAACACCTATTACATAATATGAAATAATTTTTAATTGTTCTTGTATTATGTGATTTATTTCTTCTAAAAGCAAGTTCAACGTACTGTGTTACTAAAAGCAATAGGTATAATATAATAAAATATTATCCTTAGAAATATTATTCTTAGAAACATAATATAGGCTTCCAGACCATCTCCGCTCAGAATCGTTTTCCGTATGCAATGACTTAACATTCAACTCAAATTCAATACACCTAAATACATTAAAATTATGACTTACGACCTACCCAACGACGAGGTACACTTGACAACTGCTATACTTCTGTGGGTCACCCATTTTATTTTTTCACCATAATAATTTTGAAATGTTCTGAGACATTTCCATTTTAGACCATAAAAAGAGTAATACAAATTTGAAAACACCATTTTTAAACCATTATTGATCTCTCTCTGTTCGGAATCTATAATATATAATAGACTACGTACTACGTACTGGTCTACGAGCGATCTTCGAGACCGACATTTGCACTGGTAATTTTGTTTTTGTGTATAAATCATAGTTTTATATAGTGGTAAAGTTTTATTTTTAAGCATAGATTCGTTCGAAACAACACATCGTGTAGACAATGACTATTTCTTGACCGTTCATCGAAAGAACAATACAACTATAAACTTGATTATTCTTGTAAATATCAGTGTCTATCCTCTATATATTATAGTGTTACAATCTGGTATACAGTGAACGAGTGATGATGAGATTAAACACACGTGGCTAATACTAATAATAATAAAACATTAAACTGTGTGTCTACGATGGGATTACAAAATTCTCCATTACACTTTCGATTTTCGAGTGGGATCAGTTGTAGTTTTCGGTCTGTCATGCAATTATAATTTATTATTCTTCCTAAATTATATTACACATACGGACTATACAATATTTCACTGTACTTCTATTTCTACTTCTACACTGATTTGAGGCATATTAATGTATAACAAAAGAATAAGTCATTAATGTTTTATTGATAGTGAATAATTATAATTATAAAATGTGTAAAACTTAAAACTAAATATATTATACTCGGTGTAATACAACATTATTATAAGCGACCGAAAGTTTAATTTATCAAAGGATATGAAATATAAAAATGTTTTCGGTCCAGCACTTTATTTAAATTAACAATAAAACAAGTATAAAAGCTTTAATTTTGGAATTAAGAACCTCTAAAAACATTATATTATTATATAATGTATTTTTTAGTTCAAAATTAATCGAAAAACGCAAAAGAAATAAATGTAAAGGTTTTCATAGCAGCTATTAAAGTTGTTTAAAATATTAAATGTGTATAACATTTTGCGATGCCTTTAAAACGGTATAATAATTTTTCATAGTAAACACGTACCTACTATTTCCAGAAAAACCATAAAACTAATCAAATTTTGCTTTCAAATATTGTTGCTTCCGACGAACGGCCCAAGATCTTATTTATTGAACTAGGGTATTAAAGTTATGTCACCATGGTTATGCTGTTTGTCAATAAATATAAAAAACAATCATTTAAAATTAAATTAATTATGCAGTTGGGATAACATTATATTATAGTGTGGTATATAATTGGCGTAGAGTGTAAGCGTCTAACAAACTCGTTTTTTTTTAAATGCATTTAAATTTTTAATATGTAATCAAAAATCAAAAATTATTTTAATATTATTATTATATTCAAGAAAAAATTTGTTTTGAAAAAAAATCTGATTATAAAATGTAAAATAGCGGCAGTGCTTTAAACCGTGAAATTACTACAATTACCTACCTACAAAACGATTTACATTAGAAGTCAATTAAATATTAAAATTAGCCCACCACTGCAAACTATTTGGTCTTATAGTAAATTACGGTTGTAAGATGAATGAGAACGAACCAACCACGATATGATTAACAATTGTATATGTATAGCAGGACATAGAATTTAAATATAAGTATAGGTTTGAACTTTTAACAAATTCAGACGAAATCAAAATTAGTAAACTAATTTACTGCCAGTTAAATAATTTTTCCGCTCAAACTAAATCTGATGTCGATATATTAGAATTCACAAAAATATAAATGCTCTATAATACTTATAACCATTTTACCAAATTATATAAGATCAATACAACATCGCGAGACTTCTGACTTTTAGTTTTAGACAAAACGTATGATTGTATGACGTATTGTAAATTTGTAACTCAATACAAAAACGTCAACACTTCAAGAATCGTCCTATAGCTAAATTATGATTTTTAAAAACAAAATCATTAAGTTTCACAACTTAAAAATGAGACTGGAAATATTTACAATTTAAATAAATGTGTTGAAGTCAAACAGCTCGGTAAGAAGAACAAAGACTATAAGTAAAAGCTAAAAGTTCCACAATATATAATAATCATCTTTGGTGTTCTTTAGTGGGACTTTGATCCAATTTACACTTTACACTAGGTATCCATTGTGCCATTATATACTTTAAAAATTTAAAAGAATAAAAAAAAACTTTAAATTGCAACATTTTTTGAATTAAAAAAAAACCCATTTAATTGTATACAGCCATACAGGTAACTACGACCGTGTTCAATGAATATTTTTAACGACGCTAAAACAATTTTTTTTTTTCATGGACAATCATTAATTTTATTATTCTAACCTAAAATATTGTGGTCGATAAGAAAAGACATTAACTTATGTTTTTCATTAGGTAAACCGAACAAAATACCTACAGCGGTATTCATCGTACTATTTGTACTACACCAGTTGTAAGTCGTACTAGCAAGCTCGGCAAAGTGTATCCGTCGAGTTTTCATCGACCCGGTAGGAGGACGGTTTCTAGTTAGATATAAACGCGACAACAATATCCATACCATGGCTTAATTTTGAATATAAATGCCATAAGAGCATACAGTAAAGATTGTACCGTTAAAAAAAATACAACGGTTATTGAGCATAAAATATTACAACGGTTATTGAGAATAAAATATTACAATAACCGAAAAACGAGTGCAATATAATATTATGATTTATGCCGATTAGTTCTCTGCAGAGATTCCAACAGTTTTATGCTCTTGTGTAAGATATTTAATTAATATTCTCAAAGTCAAGTGAGGCGATGACGTTAGCGACGATGTTCGTGAGAATCCCAAAGGGTCCGTG